AGACTACATCGAGCACGTGGCGAGCATCTCATGCAAATCTTGCCATCGCTCGGGCGCCATGCGCTCTCGGGCCCGTTCTGGCGGCAACGGCTGCGCCGCGTCGGGCTGGGCCTCGACGAGGGAAGGCGTGCTCGCGTCGTCGCCGTTGCCCGCCTTGGGGCCCGCGCTGCTCGACGTCGCGGCAAACCCGCCTGGGAAACTCGGCCGCGTCGAACTGCCGCCGAACTGCTGCCTCGGCGTCGCCCCCATGGACTCCGTGCCAGCCGCTCCTCGGGGCCGCTGCCTGAGGTCGCCGTCGCACCGCGCGGCGCCCCGCGGGCAATCGTCGCCCCCCGAAGTGGCCCCGGCGCCGCACTGCCGAATTCCGCATCGCGGCATCCGTCGCCGACCGCAGGGGGCGCGAAGGGGCGCGCAGCGGTGCTGAGCGGCGTCGTCACCTTGTGGCCGTCTGCCCCCTCTCTATGCCCAGCGTGCCCAGCATGCCGACCTGATCGACCGCATTCCCTGGTCAGTAAGGCCGCGCCGACAAACGCAGCGGCGCGCGCCTTTCAGCCGCAGCCGCGCGTCGCGCCCCAAGCGGCGGCGCGAAGGATGACGGGCCCCTCCACCGCGCAAGCCTCGACCGCGCAGTCGACCCTCGGCCTCCACGACGAAGCGGCGCCTCGTGTCGCGAAGGCCCCGAAGCGCGGCCCCGCTGCAGCCTCAGCGATGGCGGGCGCTGGCGCCTGCGCGAAGCCCTCGGGGCGCGCGCGGGCCGCGTGCCAAGCTGCGTTGCGGCGGCGCTGGCTGCGTCCAGGCGCGCGCTCCCCTGCGGCCGCCGCCTGCCGCGCTGGCCTGGCCGCCGCCGGCTCCCGAACCTGGGGGCGCGCCCGTCGCCGGGGAATCCCGCGGGCGGGCTCCTGTGGTCTGCCGCGCTGGGCTGCCAAGCTCCTATGGTCAGCACTGCTAGTCTGCCGTGCTGCTGTGGTCTGCCGTGCTGGTGTGCCGTGTTCCTGTGGCCTGCCGTGCTTCTGTGGTCAGCCGCGCTTGTCTGTCGTGCTGATGTGGTCTGCCGTGCTGATCTGCTGTGCTCCTGTGGTCTGCCGTGCTGGTCTGCCGTGCTCAAATTCGGGGGATCATCCAACATCTCCATTTTGGGAGGATGTCTCAAGCAAAACGCTTGTTTTACCAGAATTCGATTATGGTAAGTTCGTAGTTTGGTGATGACGTTCCAAGCGAGATCACAATGTTCGCTCGTTTTGGTGGGCGCCCTTGGGGTTATCTTGGGGCCTGATCTTGTTTTTTTGGGGCCGTCGTGACGCCTTCAAAAAATAACCCCCATAAGATCTTAGAAACGTAGACGGCCGACTTGTTGATGAAATCCTGCGCGAAATCTTCATCTGTGGAAGGCTGGCTTAGGCCGTCGTGAGACCTTGCGAGAGAGATACCAGGACAATGCCAGAAACGATTGCTGTTCGAAACTGTGCTATCGTATCGTAATTGTCTTGAGGGCGTCCCTAGCGAAATCGTCACCATTGGAATGTTCAGGAAGCTCTTGGAACCATCCTGGGGTCCTTGTTTGGCCTTTGTTGCTTCGTCATCGAACACAAGACGATGCGACAACGATGTTGATAACATACACCCAGAACCTATACTGAGAAATCTTCCAGTAAGAAATTGAGATCCAGCTTCGCTGAATTGCTTGGTCCTCTTGCGAAATCCAGCTCTGAAGCGTGCAATTTTTCAGCGCAGCGCGGCGCCAGTGGTGGTTTTGAAAATGTATGAAACACAACATGCAAGAACATGTGGAGAAACATGTGGCGGCGGATCTAAGACCGGCGGGAAATCTGAAAGAAAATCGGGAGAAATATCTGGGTAATCTATACAGTAGACGAAAGATCTGGAGGAAGACCTCGGTAAAGATCTGGGTGGATATCTGGACGAAGATTTGGAGAACATATGGGGGAAGATCTGGAGGAAGATCTGGACGAAGATCTCTGGCAGATCTGGGGAATATCTAAAGGAGAAATCTCGAGGAACACCCGGTGAAGATCTGGGTGGAAAACTGGGTGAAGATGCAGGGGGAGGATGAAGATCTGGGGTAATATCTGGAGGACAATCAGAAAAACAAAACCTGGAGGAAGATCTAAAGGAGAGATCTCGGGGAAGATCTGAGTGCATATATCGGGGAAGATAAGGGGGGAATTATGGTGGAAGATCAGGAGAAATATCGGAGCGTAGATCTGGAGGAGAGATTTCGGGGACGATCTGGGGGAAAACCTGGGGGGAGATCTGGGAAAGATCTGGAGGAAGATCTGGACACACATCTGGAGGAGAAAACTCGAGGAAGATCTGGGTGAAGATCTGGCTAACAGATCTGGAGAAGATCAGGGGGAAGATCAGGAGAAACATCTGGTGGAGGATCTGGAGGAGAGATCATGGGAAAGATCTGGCCGAACATTTGGGTGAAGATCGGGCAGATCAGCGGGCAGATCTGGAGGCAGATCTGGAGGAAAATCTGGAGAAGAGATTTTGGGGAATATCTGGAGGAGTGATCTCGGAGAAAGTCTCGGTGAAGATCTGGGGGAAGATTCGGAGAAAGTCTGGGGCAAGATCTGGAGTAAAATCTGGGGAAAGATCTGGGGGAAGATCTGGAGGAGAAATCTCGGTGAAGATATGGGTGAAGATCTGTGGTGATGCATATATGGAAGAATAGATCAAGGAATAATGGTGGGAGTTCTGGAGGAAGATGTCGGAAAAAATCTAAAGGGAATATCTGGAGCAAGATTGGGCGGAACATCTGGAGGCATCTCTGGGGAGACATGTGGACCATGATCTGGAAGAAGATCCGGAAACCCAGACGAAGATCTGGGGGGGCGAGCTGAAGAAGAAGCGGAAGACATCCAAACAGAAGGTCCGGAGGAACAAACAACAGAAGATCTGGAGGAATATCTAAAAGGAAGATCTCGGAAAAGACCAGAAGGAAACTCTGGGAAGAAATCTGGGACAACGTACTGGGGAAGATCTGGAGGAAGATCTTGTAAACAATTGGAACAATGTGAATGAAAATCTGGGTGAAGATCTGGGGGGACAGCCGGGCAAATATCCAACGGACACCCTGGCGGGAGGACGAGGAGGAGGATGAACAGACATAGGAAGGGAGACAGGAGGACGGAGAGGATCCGCGGGAAGATCTGCGGGGGGAGATCTGGTGGAAGATCTGAGGGTAGATCTGGAGGAAGATCTGGGAGAAGATCTGGGGCAGATCTAGGCTGATGAACTAGGGTGGTCTAGAGGAATATCTGGAGGAGCATCTGGGGAAGGTCCAGGAAAATCGGGAAAACATCGGGGAGAAGATCTGGAGTGAGATCTGGGGGAGATCTATGAAGATCTGGAGAAAGATCTGGGGAAGATCTGGAGGAAGATCTGGGGAAGATCTAGGGTGATCTGGGGCAGATCTGGAGGAAGATCGGGGGGTGAGATCTAGGGGGAGAATAAGAGGAAAGTCTCGAGGAAGATCTGAGAGAATATCCAAACTATCCAGAAGAAGATCAGGAACAATATGCCAACGTTAAGAAGCTGGGTCAGCTTTGGGGAATTCGTTACCGAAATTTCGAATATGTTGAGACCCAGCTTGGCGGGAGGGAGTTTCTTAACAAAAGATATCAGTGCATTAGCTTTGTGAGGATGTCCCGCGCGAAATGGTCACTTTTAGAACCAATGTCAAAGCATACATAAACACGTCATTTTCTGAGGATGTCTCGAGCGAGAGCGTCGTTCCTGACATTCGAGGCAGTATCGCGGCTCTGTCGACATCCTGTTGTTTCGAAGATGTCTGAAGCGAAACGCCCATTTTCGCAGAACAAGTAAAAGTCGACGTGGCCAGCTTATGATAATGTCTCAAGCGAGACGCTGGTTCTTCAAAAAAACGATGCTGCAGACAGCTCATTTTTGGCAAGATGTCTCAAGCGAAATGCTTAAACAAAAACCCAACGAATAATCGTATGCGACCAGACGCGGTCTAGCGCTAGAGATCTTTGCATATAATGTGAAAGTACAAAGCTTCCATCTCCTTCGAATTTCTCGAAATTGCTTTCTGTCATCCGCCGGCCCTCTTCAAATCGACCCCGGGGCGTGAATCTACTAAACAAGAACCCTGGGCCGCGCGCGGATCTTTGAATTGGGCGTTGGACCGCCCTGGCGGCACCTCCGGCGCCGCCCCTGTCTCGCTCCGCGCGAGATGGGGGGGGATCTGGCGCCGATCCCAGAAATCTGCGCGGACCTTCGAGAGGCGGACCTCCGGAAGGTCATGTCTGTGCAACTCTTTGTCAGTCGATGGACGGTCATACACAGACCCAGTGAAGACTTGGACACCCGAAAAATGGGTACAATGCCGAACATCAACTGTTGTCCAAAACCAACAGCAGCCGCTATTGGACAGGCGGCCTTCTGTCTCAAACGGGCACCGCCCGCAGCGACGCCGACAGCGACTCCTGTTCAGGATGGACACGCTTTGCTGCTAGTCTTCGTACCAATGCTTTCCGTACCCATCTCGTCGATCCTCCACCGAAAAGACTCCCACGTCGGCTCTTGGAACAAGGCCCGTAGCGCAGTCGACCTCCTGCTGAGAGAACGGGTGCGGCTGAGAGCACGGGTGCAGGCCTCGGTCAGTCGGATCGCCTTACTCTGGCAGACGTCTCACTTGATCGGCGGCGAGCGCCTGGGGGAAAGTGAGAAGGGGGGGCTGTCACGGAAGGGTCGGAAGTCCCCTGACATTCTGAAAAGCTTTCTGAGCCTCCCCGAAGAAACAGAACACCTCTCAGAAGGCCGGAGGGCTTCTGAGAAGCCTGGCCGCCTTCTGAGAAGGCATTATCTTTCTCAATTTCCCCCCTCGCTGGCCGCCGAACTGATGGATGGGGAGGGGGACAGGGAAGCGGCCTTGGAGGGAGGAGGGCCAGGATGCAGACAGAGGCGGAGGCACCCAGGCCGGACGGGCGTAGAAGGACTGGAGGGGAGGCGCGTCAGAAGTGCTCGACAGCGAACTGCCAGACACCGGAGGAGCAGTCGTAGTCGATGAACGTCGCGTTCTTCTCCTCCGCCATCGTCGCTTCGTCGTCGTCCTCCTCCTCCTCCTCCTCCTCCTTCTCCTCGTCCTCCGCTCCTTCGTATGCCTCTCCCGTCGTGTATATATGTATACATATGTATATATATATATATGTATATGTATACTTGTATATATATATATATATACATATATAGATGTATATGAATACATTCCTCCTCCTCCTCCTAACCCTCCTTCTCTCTCCTCCTGCTCCCCACCCCCTCGCCCTCCTCCTCCTCTCCGTCCTCGTTTTTCTACTCCGTCCTCCTGCTTGTCCTACGCCTCCCCGTCCGTCCTTCTCATCATCCCCTTTATCGTCGTCGTCGTCCTCCTCCTCCTCCTTTTTCCCCCCTCTTTCTACTCCTCCTCCCCTCTCCATCCTCTCCCCCTCTCCTCGTCTCCTGCCTCCACCACCCCCGTCTCATCCGTCAATTGGCTCGTCCCTTCCATCCCCTTCCTCTCCTCCTCGTCCGCCCTCCTCCCCCTCATCCTCCTCCTCCGCTGCCTTCTCCTGCTTCTCCTCCTCCTCCTCCTCCTCCTCCTCCTCCTCCTCCTCCTCCTCCCCCCTCGCCCTCCTCCTTGTGTACTCTTTCGCCTCCTCCTCCTCTTCCTCCTCCTTCTCCTCTCCTCCTCCTCCTCCTCCTCCTCCGTTTTTCTGCAAATATATCATCCCTGTCGCACCCCCCTCAGCCATGTCAGTAGGGCGTGCTGGGCGTTCCGTGTGCACTTCATCACAAGTTATGCTTCTGCAACCTGTAATTAGCAGCCGTTTCACGGATGCGGGACGGGTCGTTTTCAAGATGTGGCTCTCGCTTGGTCGCCATGCACATTCCTTTGGAAATGTTGCAACAGCTTTACGGATGGAGGGCGGGCCGTTTTCAAAATGTGGCTCTCGCCCTAGCTCTGCGCACATCGCTTTGAAAAGCTTGCATCAATTGCAAGGATGGAGGACGTGACGTTCTTTTCGCCTGAGCGCCACGCATATTCGTTTTAAGCTGTTGCCACAAGTTCACGGATGGAGGGCGGCTCCTTTTCAAAACGTGACTCTCGCCCTAGCGGCGCGCACATCCGCCTTACAACCTTGTAACGTGTTCAAGCGTTTGTAAACTTCAATTCTCAAGAACGGTGCTTTTTCGCGGTTTAGGGTTGTCAGGACGCAACAGTGGCGTTGACCCGAGATGCTGAAGTCTCTAGAATGGTGTTCTGGAACAATGTAGGACTGTCAGGGCGCAGCAGCCATTCTGTTACGCGGCGTTGCAGCTCCAGGAATGTTTTTTTCTCGCACGATTGAGGATTCCTAGATGTGGGTCTTCCAGCGGGGGCACTCCCCGCAATGAACATATATTATTGTAGGGACCTATGAGGAAGCACCTTGGAGGAAGGGTTTATTCCAACATCATTGGTGCCTCTTGGGCTTACACTGGTCCTCCTCCTCCACCGCCTCCCCCTCGTCATCAGTCCTTCACGTTCATCCCTGTCTTCCTCCTCTTCCTCCGCCTCCTCCTCCTCCTGAACCACTGATGCACTGAGGGCGATAGAGTCTCCTGACGCCGCCCTCCCCCCTCCTCCTCCTCCTCCTCCTCCTCCTCCTCCTCCTCCTCCTCCTCCTCCTCCTCCTCCTCCTCCTCCTCCTCCTCCTCCCCTCTCCTCCGTCATCTTCTTGATCTGCTGCTTGTACTTCTCCCGGGTGCCAGCGTCCTCCAAACTGCGGCCTCCCCCGTTCGGGGGCCAGCACTGCATCATCACGATCGTGGCCGC